TGGTAGAGGAGGTGAGTACACAAGGTGTGGTCTGAAGAACCTCAAACTCACTGCAAATACTTGGTCTGACAGCTTGTGTGTGAGTTCTTGGATGGCCATGTACCTATTCCGCCTATCCTTTTGACACACATTTGGCTTTTCTGCCTCTTCTATTCTCCTACACAGGCAAAGAGTATAACCCTTGATGAGACGAGACGTGTTCTCCCATGGGTGTGCCCCTTTGGAGCCCATGCTATAGTTTGTCACACCCCATGGGCTTTATTTGGACATTTCCTCTTGGGAGTTCATCTAGGTAATTTTTGCACTGGTCCATCCACCATCTCAACATAGGATTCTGTCTGTCTGTGTGAAGAGGTGAATACTCGTTTCCTTACCTGAAAATGTATTTCTGATAGATATTCACCTGTTCCCACCTATCCTCCATACTTTTCTGGTGTATATTTATTCATTGTCTCATCATAGAATGAGGATACAAATGCGAATATACAGGGAGTCATTGCACATGGAGGTGTCTTGCATTCCTATCGGTGGAGGGTTCTGCTACATGATGATGTCATCATGACGTGGTGCACATTCACGTGTTTTCATGTGAGATTAGAGCTATTTTAAACATCACTTGAATTCCCTAAATATTGTTACATCCAACATTTTCATTTTAAACAAAAGATTGCATTATTTAAAGAAGAAAATATAAGATTGTAAATAATTGAGAAAATGTAACATAAAGTAACATAAAGAAGTGCCTTAGTGATTCCATAATACTGGAAATAATGTTACAAAACATTGGAAATTTTTTGACAACACACCTCATATCGCAACCAGTACTGGTAACTACCTAGTGGGTTCTGGTCCAATGGGAGCTCGGCTTGTTGACTTCTTATCACTAGGGTTCCTTCATCCATGATCAGCGAGTTTTTCCCAGTTTTGTTGAAAGGATTCATGATCCCCTTCTTTTTTTTCCACTTCCATGTCTCTTTTCCCCATTTCCTTCTCGGAATCCCGTGACCAGTCAGCCTTTGTTGGAAGCAGTTCGGGAATTGCTATCTCAGCAGTCATTGAACCTGTTCTACATCCTTGACCAGGTTTTTATTCCTGACTTTTGTTGTTTCCATGAATAACAAGGACTGGAGGCCTGTCATAGATATATCTCACCTCAACAGCTTCGTTCATCTGCCCCAGTTTACCATTGGGTCTTTTCTTACCTGGAGGTAGACATTTTCTCCAAGTTTGTGGATAACCAAAATGGATCTCACCAAGGTTTATCTACTTATACCTATATCTCCTCAGTCCTGCCCTTATCTTCAGTTTGTCCATCTCAGAGTGGTTAATCAATCTTGTGCACTACCAATCAGATTTGCTTCAGCCTGTTATGGTTTCTGTTGAGTAGTCCGAACATTTGCTTGACATCTTCATGCTCTGTGGTTGAGTTTCTCTCTTACATGGATGACTGCCTTCTTATGGCTCATTCCGAACCCAAGTTGGTAAGCTATACTCTGCAGCTCACTTTAGTGGCTGCTCGAGTGGGCTGGTTAATCAAACTGGATAAGTCCTTCCTCAGACCTACTCAGTATCTTGTACTTTTGGGGGTCTATTTTGATACTCATATCATTCTATGAACTGGTTAGTTTGCCACGCCCTCTCAGTTTCATCACTTACTGCTCGCAAGATTCTATTGCTTTTGGGGATGTGGTCTTCAATGACATCAGTGGCCCTTCTCATTCGTGCCCATATGAGATCCCTTCATTGAGCTCTTCCCGATCTATAGAACCTTGTGCGGGATCTTCTTTATCTTTCCAGTACCCTTCCTCTTATCAGGCAAGAAAATCTGCTTTGGAAATTGGACGAGATGTGCCATTTCCTCTCCCGTATCCAGTTCTACATCCTTTCATAGCTGCATCCGTGCTGGGCCGGGGTGCATGGGCAAACTACCAGGAAGCTTTGGGTCGTTGATATGTGGACTAAGGTGCTTACAATATCAACTTTCTTGAACCTCTCACTGTTCTTGAGGCATTGAATCACTTCCTTCTTCTCACCAAACATTCTCTGGTGATGGTTCTTTCCAACAATTCTATGGGGGTGGCACTTGGTCGAGAGAAATATGTTTTCGGACGTGGTATCTCTTATACTGGGCCCACGTGCAAAACATTCATCTCATTGCATGTCATGTGCCAAGAGCTTTTATTCATCTTGCAGATCATCTTTTTTGCTCCAACTGGATGTATCTGACAAAGTGGTCCTTAGATCCCCTTGTTTTCAGATGGCTTTGCACGTGGATGCATTAGCTATTATCCTTAATTCACAAGTTTCCTCTTTTGGTTGCGGGTTCTTCATACTCAGGCTGTGGCAGGTGATGTCTTCAGCCATTATTGGTCCTACTAATATCCTTATGATTATTCTCCTATCTGATTACTTCTGTGGATGATGTCTCACCTACATTCGACTCCTTGTCAGGTCCTTATGATTGTTCCTTATTAGCCAGCTCAGCCATGGTTTCCCCTGTTACAACATCTGCTATTCTCCCTAACTTTTTCTTCAACCTCGGTTGCAAGTCTTCCATTCCAACCTTCACAGCTGGTTTTTCTATGATTCTTGACAAGGAATTCCAGTTTCTCCTGTTGATTCATTTTTTTTTAGTTGATTCCTTACATCCTTCTTCCATGGAAGTATATTGGTGCAAGTGGAAGGTGTTATGCAGTTTGGCTACAACCCTGGGATTCCTGAGGACCACCTACTGTGGCTCTGGTGGCAGATTTTTTCACTTGGTTTTTTTGACCAGGGGTCCTCAGTCTCCTCACTTTTGGGTTATCAAGTGGCTTTATCCCATACATTTCATTTTTTCTGATACTATAGCATTTTTACTTCACCTGTCCTTAACATGCTCCTGTGTTCCTTCCGGTTGTGTTGCCCTCCCAGATGACCTACCTGTCGGATTGGGATGTTAATGTAATATTCCATTCCCTCAAATTACCTCTGTTTGAATCACTTTCCTTGTGTTTCACTTTTCCCATCAAACCTATTTCCTTATTCTCTTTGCCTGTGGACATTGACTTTGACTTTCAGTACACCTTATTGCCCTACCTATCTTCTCCTTTATTCAGATCGTTCCTTCCTCCCAAAGACCTCTGTGGCTCAGAGGGTAGCTCCTCCCTTTCACCTATTTCCCTTCCTTCCATTTCTCATCTAATACTATAGAAGGAGTATGTTCCTTCATCAGGTACTCTGAGTACTTCCAACAGTATAGAAGGAGTATGTTCCTTCATCAGGTACTCTGAGTACTT